TCATAAGAATAAATACGTACATTCATAAATACAGGCATAAATACATACATACATATAAATACATACACGAGTACACAATATTACACAAATACAGAACAGTTCACAACCTTGCCACTGTCGGTCGCTACTGTGCCCCGGTCTATTACTGTATGTTGTCTTCCCATCTCTTTTTTTCTCTTCTTTTCCTTCCCCCTCCTTGTGCAGTGCCCTGTATGATCATCTTCGCAAGTCCATCAACGTAACGTAGAATAATAAGGAGGCGGGCTGCCTCAAACCCATATGACACGACGCGGTGGAATCAGGCACTCGTCGATGTATGGTGTGAAAGCTTATTCATTTGTCCTACTTTCTATGAAAAAATACCGATCTATTTCAAATGAAAGTCGAGACTTTTGCAATTTAAGGAGGTGGGGGTAGCGTGGTTTTAGAGGAAAAATAGACCAGAACAGGGCCGCCAAAGGTTTGTATTCTATTTAGCTTGAGAGTCTTTAAAAACTGAAAATTGACATATTTGTGCCGCTTAATCGGCGTCTTTCAGTAAATTTCACGTGGAAAGGTGCTTTTGTAAAGACAAAAATTGTATTCAGCCAAAAAAAAACCCACCCCTAAAATTTGATGAAAATTGCTGAACCATAGGGAAATTGCCTTTCTCTTCGATTTCATTATAATGTCGAGCGCCTTATTTCACCACGATGTCTCACATAATGTCTTGGCAAACTCGAGCTGAGAGAGATACACAGCAGCCCAGCACACAGACAGAGATACGGTGTGTGCGATAGCAAAGAGCCTTAACTCTTACACCACCGACATCTATCACAGTAGTCTCCCTTAAACGTCGTCGAGGTAAAGAACGATAACCACATCAAAGAAACGGAGAGCACAGTATAGAATAGAAAACATTCATTAACTCATTTTCTTGCCTGCTGCAATTACGTTTAAGTGGTGTTGGTGACACATCCCCTCCCATCTTCCCCTTCAACTTCATGAGACAGGTAAGATAAGATAAGATAAGGTCATATAAGATAAGGTCATATAAGATAAGATAAGATAAGATAAGATAAGATAAGATAAGATAAGATAAGATAAGAT